CATATACTTCATAAACACGGAATATTCCTCTGTCGCAATGTTGAGGACCATCGCCTGCTGCTGGAACTCCGTGGTGTATTCTTGAACGGTTTGATTGACCCTTTGGCGCAAGCCGTACCACTTGTACCAACGTTCTTCAAGGAATCCCACCGGGTAGAACTGTTTCCTGAGTAGCTCCTTGAACTTGTTCCACGACACCGCCTTCTTCTCCTGCTTGCAGTAGGATTTCCACCACGTCAACGCGTGCCCTGAAAGCTTCAAAGTCGCGAACACAATCTTCTCTTTCGACGAATAGCCATAAAGAGTAAAATACGTCTCCATCCGCTCGATCCAGTCATCAAGCCTCTCGACGTCAACACTCCCATCATAAACAGGAATCTCCACCTTAAAGTCAATCTTCAGGTTTTGATAAGAATTCTTACCACCTTGATGCAATACAGTCTTAACGGTCTCCTCCTCCTCGTCGGAATCTGAATCTACTCTTTCCACATCGGACTCAACAATTTTCTTTGAAGAAGATTCACCTTGTTTGCCACCTCCATGGATAAGACTGACGAGTTGTGTGAGAGTCGAACCTATCGTCTCGATCTGCTTCTCCAATGCATCAATCCTCGTTGAATTGTCTCCTTCAGCCATCTTCTTCTTCCTTAAAACTCGGACTCCTTCCAATGAAATAAGGATCTCGCCAAGCTCCTTGTATTGGGATCGAGTAAGGACCATACACAGGATGCCCCTTCACCGGATCTGATGCTCTGATACCAACTTGATACGAGTTGCCGTGCGAGCACCCTTTGGTCGTGGAATTACCAAAAGGTGGGTTGAGAAGAGGACGACCAAAACACAAGAACAATTCAGTTTGGCGAAGGAAAATACCTTCTCTAGATTATGAAGAACAAAAGATTACAATCTCTCCCTCACAATCTCACTCTAGAATTGAAGAACAAGCTCTCCAAATCTCAATCTAGAATCTAATCTCTCTTGATTAAACTCTCTGATCTAAAAGATGTTTAGAAACCCTAAAACAATCCCTTATATAGGTGTACAAACGTGGATGGCAGTTTGGTAAATAACCAGACCCAAAACCAACAGGAATTCGTGTGAACAGAAACCCAAACGAACCAGGAAACCATCGATGAGTCGACTCATGACTGAGATGAGTCGACTCGACAGAAACTGGAGAAATCTCAATAACCAGCGATGAGTCGACTCATGACAGTCATGAGTCGACTCAACCTGATGAGTCGACTCATGTACCGTATGAGTCGACTCACGAGCTGAAATCTGGATTCTTCGAATCTGCTGCTCGCCGTCTCGTTCCACGCTTCCACCTGTGCTCCGCCGTGTCGCTTCACACTACTATTCTCAAGATATCATGAGAATCACCTATCCTCAAGCTCCCATGAGGATCGCTTTTTC